TGATGTGTCCTTATGCAGGACGGCCAGGTCGTCGCGTATGCTTCACGTCAGCTTAAGCCTCATGAGCAGAACTATCCGACGCACGACTTGGAGTTAGCAGCAGTCGTTCATGCTCTCAAGATTTGGCGACATTATCTTTACGGCGGACGTTGCGAGATTTTCACAGATCATAAGAGCCTGCAGTATATTTTCACGCAGAAGGAGCTCAATATGAGACAACGCCGTTGGCTCGAACTTGTCAAGGATTACGACTGCTCTATTCAGTATTGTAACACCCCACTTTGATTTTACAGAAATTTCGAATTTTCCAAAAACCAGTATAAAATTTTCAAAATCATTTTTGAAAACTTAGCGGGTGTTAACTAACATTTTTCATATCCCAAATCTTATCTGGGCCTACGGGGATTCATTACCCGGTTTTCACAATTGGTTTTCATTAACCAACATAAACTCATGAAATAAATAACCAAACATAAATCCCAAAACAACAAAGGTTCATAAGTTTCGAAACCAACACACAAGGTTCGAAAATAGTTTGCACAAAAACATAACGTGCAACAGACTTATTCAAGTTCAGCGGAAGTAATTAAAATGCATAAGTAATTAGACCGACCCAACTCGTCCCTTACTCGTCACCCGGCTGTTGCTTAACCTGCATCGGTGAAGAGCAGGTGGGGATGAGCACAAGATGATAAACGTGCTCACCACTATGCACATATATAATAATAACAGCTGGTATGGTTAGAGTATGAACATAAATCAATCATTTGTCACGTCTCCAAATCACATCACCTCATAACATATTACCCACGTGTACACATCTCTCATTAGCCAAGGATAGGGGATTCATTACCCTAACTCATGGGGGTACGTGCCACTGTAACGGACACGGCCTTTCATTAGGTCTTACGGAGACTTGCCTCGCACGGGCAACCGTACCGTAACTCGACGGGGACAACCGTACCGACGGCCGACACCGGCTCATGCCGATAGGCTACATGATTTACATACATACTAAAATCATACCATCTCAACAAGAAAACACATATATGGCATAGCAAGTTTTAAATAAGTAAACCCACCTGCATACTGGATTGACGATAGCAAAATCAGAAAGGATGTAGGTTGAGGCTTAACTCCTCAAGCACCTACATTAAGTCAAGATTCCTACAATCAATATCTCTCTCGACTTAGACAGAGAAACACAAATCAGACTTAGTCGAACTTAATTCGACTAAGTTATTCGTGAAGTTCTGTGGACGTTGGAACACTTAGACTCGACACTATACCCAAACAGATTATACATGGCAGTTCACATAAATCATAGTAATGATTGACCAAGTCCAACAAACAAGAACATAAAGTATGACGATTTACAGTTTCTAACATAAAAATCATATTTCACAATCACTAGCCAATAATCACCAAAATTAAGTTGAATAGGTTTCCCTATGAACTAGACTTTGCAATTTTCACCAAAAATAGACTCCCCAATACTTAGAAAAAATCACCAAGTTTCGGCCTCAAATTCAAAGTACACGATTTTACAAAATTCCAATATGGTATCAGCAAAAACAAGCATAAAATTCAAAGCTTAACCCAACGAATGAATTAACACATGAGATTTTTACCAGAGAAAGTTCAGCAACTAAGGATCAACACATACAAATTCCAGCAATTAACATCAAATACACAAATTATGAAAATTCATACAAGATTCAGCAGCTTATCAAATTTTAATTAAAACCGAATCAATTTGAGCTCTAAAAGTTCTAATCTTTTTACAACATGACACTCCACATAAAAAAAGCATCTCAGCCAAATATCAGAGTTATTTAGAAAAGGACCGATTTATTATAATCAAAAACGTCTTTCTGCAAAAACCTTAAATAAATTATTTACCCTATCAATCTCAGTCTAAAAATTATAAAAATTTTACACAACATCATAATCATATAGAAAGAAAACATACTAAAATTTCATAACGTTTGGAGCACAACTCAATTTATCATCCAATTAACACGATTCTACTCAGAAATCACTTTAATTAATTAAAATAGCTAAAGATGGAATTAAATTCTGCAATTTTCACAAAACATGTAATATTAACACAGGATATCACATATGAAATTTCATGGCAACCGGAACAGCATACAATTTATGATGAATTTAATACATTTCAGCAGCTAGTTCAGTTTCGAAAAATCATATAAGACTCGAAACACACCGAATTTGTCCAAGGCCTTTGCCATGAGGCCAAGGAAATGACAAGGTTCCAAAATCCACAGTCCTAACACGATTTTGATGGGATTTCACATGATTTCACATTAATCGATAAAATCCCTACATAAACTCATAATATATAATCCTAAATAACGAAATAACTTCAAAGCTCGAAACACATATATAAACGAGAGGGGAATCAAGCTTCGGTACCATTCTCGGGATCAGTATGCGACAACGAACGAAATGATAGCCGAGACGGGTCGTTCGGGGACCGGTAGTACGCTCGTCGGGCTCAACAACAACGGCTCGCGGGAAGAAAGAATTGCACGCAGCGGTGAACGGAGATGTTGTTGTTCTCGCTGGAGATAGTAACCAGCGGTGGTCTCGCAGCCTAGAAGCAGAACTCGCCGGCGGATGGCGGTCAGTGGTTCGCGGCGGCGTCACGGGGCTGAAACTCGCCGGACTTGAGCGAGGGAGGCAGCAGTTGATGGGAACAGTGCATTCACGAGGGACGCCGGAACTCGCTGATGGACCGGCGATGGACGACGGGGTGAGGAACTCGCCGGACTCACGGTAACTGCGATGGTGGCGCTGAACTCGGTGGCTCACGTGCTTAGAGTTACAGCGGCGATGAGGACAAAGGTGATCGAGACTCGTCGGGGTGTTCGCTGGTGTTGTTCGCGGTACTCTCGAACGTGTGGACCTGCTACGGCGATGAAGGCTCGGTTACTGATAATCGAAAGTTGCAGGCGGTGGAGCAGCGTTTGGGAGCTTCTCGCGATGGGGTAGCGATGATGATGGCGTCGGGATTTGAAGAGAAAGGGAGAGGGTGAGGGAGCGATGATACAATGAGAAAGGATTAAAGGAGAGGCTGCGGGAGGTATGATTTTTGATGAGGAAAAATATAGATACAAGGTTGTATATATATGTGCAATGATTAGGTTTTATCTTCTTGACTTCCAAGAAGACACACGCACTCAACTTTCACACGCACGGAGAAAAAAAATAAGGGAAAATTGGGTTCACGGGTCGGCTAAGGTGTCGGCATAATCGGACGATAATTAAACAAAATAAAACAGGACATTAATATTTACATATATAATACACATAATTTATTTATTTATATAATAACATTAAGAAAATCTAATAACAACAAATAATAGCAAATTGACATTTAATAGCAACAACAACAACAACAACAACAACAATAATAATAATAATAATAATAATAATAATAATAATAATAATAATAATAAATGGGCAAATAATAATAATAATACATCAAAATAAAACCCAAATAATTCATAAACGAACGGGGCATTACAATCTGAGCACGATTCCTGCTAACTATCATATTGGGCCAATTAAAATAATTAACTTGGGCCAAGGATTTAATAATATTGGGCCGAGAATATGGAACCCCATTAGATCAAATTCTCCAATGGTTCGACTTACGAGTATTTGGCCTCGGTTCGATAAAAATAAATTAACGGAAATACATATATATTTATATAATACACACAATAATATTTTTATTTCATAAACATTTAACACATAATTATATTTAGGCAATTTAGACATTTAATATAAATAACAATATATTTATTCAATAATAATAATAATAAACATTGAAAACATTTAAAAGCAATTAGACATTTAATAATATTCAGGAAAATAATAATACTAATAATAATAATAATAATAATAATAATAATAATAATAATAATAATAATAATAATAAAGCAGTAATAATTAAAATACTTCCCATATTTATCCAAAATCAAACGGGGCCTTACAGTTCGGATGGAAAAAAGTATTTTATCTTATTTATAATTAGGTGGAATTTTATTGATTAATGTGAGATTATGTTAAATTCTATTGAATTCATGTAAGTGTTGTGGATAAAGGGACCTCGTCGAGTCCTTGGCCTTATGGCAATGGCCTTGGACGAATTGGTCAAGTATTGAGTCGTTTATGGTTTTTCGAGACCGAACTAGCTGCTGAATATTTGTTAAATTCATAATATCTCGCATATTACTCCAAATGATGTGAAAGTTTGTGTGTAATATCCTGTGATGAATATACATGTCGTGTAAAAATTTCAGGGTTAAATTCCATTTGTAGCTATTTTAACTAATTATTTTGATTTCCAGGCAGAATCGTATAAATTTCATATAAAATCGAGTTGTGCTTTAAAATGGTTGAATTTCGGATATGTTGTCCCTCTATCATATTCGGATGTTCTATATAAATTTTATACTTTTTGGACTTCGTTTGCTAGGGTAATTAATTATTTTGTATTTCTGCTGAAACTCGTTTTAACTACGAAAAATCTCCCTGTTGCTGTAAATTGTTGAAATTTGGTGTGCATGCTCTTTTTATGTTCTATTACTTAGCACAAATATTCAGGATTTAATTTGTTCATCATGATAGGTTTGTAATTAAAATGAGTTTGCTGCTTAATATTGTCAGAATTTTCATAATTCGTGTGTTTAATGTTTAAAGATGAATTTTTTATATGTCGATCATTGCATGCTGTAGTTTTTTTTTAGCCGAAACGATAAATATTATTATAAATCAAAATGCACAAATGTGCAAATTACAGCCCCAAGCTAAATACAGCAGCTACCAACTAAAACCTGGGAGGACAGGTCAGAAGACAACCTAGAACCTCAGCTAGTCAAGCTAGAATAAAAACTAGACTCAAACACAACCAACACAAAACACTATAATCGCTCTCCACGGAAGAATAGAATCGCTCCCCACGGGAGAATAGAAACGGTCCACAAGGGATAATCCCCGCACACCGTCGGCTCACACATAACTGAGGCCAACGGCCCAAACCAAAAACACTAGACGAACAAAACACAGACTCAAAATGGAAAATCAAATAAAACCTAAACTATATTAGCCATCCCCCACAACAAGAAAGATCCACTACAACCCTGCCACTGAAACCGAGAGATCCACCCAAAGTGAAAGCAAACCGAGCCAAGCATCAAGATTTGAAACTGCGGAAAGCGCCTAACAAAGTTCGAAACTCAACTCCTAAAGCACACCCAAGAAGAAAACCTCGAACTGATCATCATAAATTAGCCCCAAAACAAACCATCCATACCTACCGGCAAAGAAGTCTACCGACAACCTGAGCCCATGACCATCCCCATCAGTGTGACCCACCTCCCAGCCACCAGAATAACCAGCCACCCTCCACACCATCTATGCTCGGCTTCGGCTAACACCACTAGCTGGAAGTCGGGGCAACGGCCTCTCCTAACCCAACACCAGAGCTAAGGGAAAAGGGCAGAGGGGCAAACGGAGGCACAACGCCGACCATCACGGCGCAACCGCAGCGAGCCGCCCTAGCCATGCCCCACTTCCATACCGCGCCCCAACCAGGAAGCACCCGAGCAGCCAAGAGTCGAAACACCGACAAAGCTGGCATGCCACCACCGGCCACGACCAAAACAACCAGTAGGCCAATCTTACCAACACCAAGCAAAATTACAAAAGGGGGGAGAAGGGAACCAACCTCAATACCATCCTCCACCCAGCGGAAGATGGAATATGCCGCTCTGACCCACACCATCGATAACAGGAAACGAGACAACCAGAAAATTTGCCGGAGAATCACAGCCCGACCAAATTGATGTCCGCGCGAAGTCCCTACCGAAGCGCAAGGCTGGGGGCCCTGATCAGCGGCGACAGTGACTAAGGCAAGAGAAAACTCTGTTGGGAGGAGGCAGAAAGATGATGAAGAAGACGACGATGCGTCAGGAGAGGGATTAGCGCACGCGAGCAGCAATGAAAAAAATAAAATGTCCCTTGCATGTTGTAGTTGCTTGGGTAAGAATTTCAAGTGTTAACTCGTTCATTAGGTCAGGCTTTGAAATTATGTTTGTTTTTGCTGAAAACTTGGTTTAATTTTATAAAATTGGATATTTTGAGTTAAGGGCTGAAACTTGGTGATATTGCTATGTTCATATGGGAGAATTTTGCGTTAAAATTTTAGAGCCAAACTTATTCATTTGCCTGACCAACTTGAATTGGTGTGTTCGCCCATAATTGGTTTCGAATCGAGTCAAAGTGTTCTAATGTCCCCAGAACTTCACGAACGACTTAGTTGAATCAAGTTAGACTAAGTATGATTTGTGTCTTTCTTCTAAGGTTAAGATAAGTATTGATCTCAGTGTCTTGACTTATTGTAGGTCCTTGACGAGCCGAGCTTGCTACCTACTCATATTTGTATGATACCTCTTGCTTTACCAGGTGGGTTGTTATTCTAAGATTACTATGCCGTAAACTTTATTTTAGTTATGTTATATGTATGATCAAAGTATGAATGTGAACCATGTAGCCTTTGATGTGAGTTGTACCGGCCGTCGAATGGTTATACCCGTAGTTATAAAACGGACCCCGTCGGGGTAATCTCCTCTTACGCCTGTAAGACCAGGGTTATGCTCGGTCAAAGGCATAATACCAGGGTTGTGTTCGATGGATATGAGACCAGGGTTGTGCTAGGTCGGTTTCCCCATTGTAAAATCTAGGTTGTGCTCGGCCGACGGGGGATACTCCTACTGTTTGGGCATCGTTGTAAGGCTTGGGCGAAGTCATTCGATACGTGTATCAGCAGTAGTCTATTGATATAGGTGTGCACATGAGTCTATTATTGATATTATTGATGGGAGATCGAGATAGATTATTGTTTCGTATACATGTTGTGACCATACCTGATTTATTACTGATTAATGTTATATTATTGTGAATAATGTTTACTGCATAGTAGTGAGCACTACGATTTCTATTTGTGCTCACCCCCACCCGCTCTTCATGGATGCAGCTTAGTAAGTGCGGGCACGGCGGATGGATGCGAGTGGTAGCCTTACCATTGATATTGCATCCGCTATTTGAACTGCCTATTATTATTTATGCATTTATGATTGCTGTTTAGTACTGGATTATTGATAGAAAGTGTACTCCCTAGATATTATAAATTTCAGAGGCCTGGTTTGGGTATTAGATAGAGAATTGATAATTGATGAATTACGATTGGTTACTGATGAAGTATAATTGATGAGTGATGTAACACCCCGCTTATCAGAGTCAATTTTTCGCAACTTCTTATTTTGAAAGTACTTATAAAATATCCAAAAAATCTTCTTAACTTAGCTCGGGATGCCACTAAAACTTATCTTCTTTAAAATTTGTGTTCTCCAAAACTTGATCTACAACTGGTTAGATATAATAAAACAGATTTTAATTATCGAACATGTATGAAAATTGAACCTGATAAATCTTTAAAATTTGAAAATACTATCATACATGTTCAATATCTGAAAGACGTAGCAGAAATCTTATAGGCATGGTATAATACAAACCGAAACCTTGTTAAAAGTTCATAATATAACAAATGAACCAAATCTCGATCCACACCACCATAGCTAATCTCACACCTTTGCACCGACCCTGTTACCCGAAAATGATAATAGTGGGGCGTGAGTACTAATTCATTGTGCTCCATAAAAACCCATACTAAAGTAAACAACAATAATAATATCAATATCATGATCTTTGGTATATATCTGAGCTTAATCTTTTGGCATCTGACCGATAACTTTAACTTGCACTTTGTAACTACCAGTAACTTGGGCCAGTTTTTACATGATCACATTCTGGGGGTTGCCTCCCTCAGAACCCAGTCTCGACTGGGTGAGCTTAATTCTTTGCTTAACTTTTGGATGGCATATTAAGGCCTTGGTCTTCACCCTAAACTTATAACTTTATACATACCTCGAACATGGTAATAGCTATTATACTCAATGTAATACTAGTCTGGGTCCCCACCTTTCTTTCTTGAAAACTTTTGAAAACTGTAAGTGTTGTACTGGTAGTTGTATCTGCAACTACATAAAAATATAAACAAATTTACTAAGTACTATGCTCATAATATTCTCAATAGGATGTTGAGATTCTTAACTTTAACTGATAACTTATCTGAATCTTAAATATAATTTTGTCTATAGCTCAAATGAACATTAATTCATTGAACATCTTAAATTCTTAAACTTTTACTTAATATCAAACTTAAATCATATGAATCATGATTTTGAAACTTAGATGTTGGTATAAACTCATATACCATGTAATAACTTAAAAGTGAAAATAAAATAAATTCCACATACATAAATTCATGATTCAAACATCATGTTAAACTTTCTTAGAAATAAAAATGGTAACTTAAAACTCATCAAAACCATATTATAATATCAATATACTATTCTTGAAACAATTCATAGAATTGTCTTCTTAACACATTCAACTAAAACTCAATCAATACTCATATAAATCATGTCTTTAAAATCATTAACTTAGTCTCATATAACTTATAAGTGAAAAATAACTCAACATATTCAACTTATACCAACATCAAATACATGATTTATAAACTATTAAACTGGTCTTAAACTTGCTTGGTAATGAAAATTATAACTTAATTCTCATACCATACAACTTTTAATCATAACATCAAATCATGATATTAATATGCAAGACTTAAAACAATTTATAAAATTGTATTCTTAACATGTTAAACTAAAACTTAGTCTCATTACTCATTACCTAATAATATGAGAATTTCATAACAATTACTCTTAAAACGTTATGAAATTCATCATATACACATTCATCTCACAATTTAATATCATGAAATCCACTTTGTATGCTAATTTCAAAATCTTTATCTCAAATTATATCATGCCAAATAACTAAATTCTTGTTCATAAATACTCCTCATCTATACAAGAATTACTCATTAATATAAGAATTTACCATATCTATTACATTCTAACATGTAATAAAGGTGATAAGATCACATATTAACTTAACATGTAAATTTTATTCAACTTAAACTCAATCCAATAATATGCTCAATCTATATCTCAACTTAAAACAACTTAATTCTTATTCTCATGCATATTATTACACATAACTTAAACTCATTGAATTCATAAACTCCATTATAATCTCAACTTTATATTCAACAATATATATGCTAAAAACTATTTAACTCATATAAAACATGAAGTTAAGATAAGTAATTACCTCCTTCTTGAAAACTTGAACTTGAAAACTTTGATTCTTCACTTCAAAATAACCTCACTTTACTATCATTTCTACCACTCAAACTCTCAAATAAACTTATATAACTTTGAAACATTTCTTGGTGTAAAAATCTGATTTTTGAGCCTCTATTTATAGCCAAAATTTTGGAATAAAATATTTTGGAGTGAAATAATTATCAAAATAAATAAATCAAAACTTATAAACATTATTCATCTTAAACATATCAATTCTTAACTTGTAGAAATCATCCATACTTAATAAAATGCTCAAAATGAACTTTAGTTGGAACCAAAACCGAAAAACTAAAATCTGAAAATTTTTGTCGGCACACGACACGTGTGACTAGTCACACTGGTCGTGTGACCGCACACGACTCGTGTGACAGGTCGTGTGACTGGTCGTGTGGCTATGCCGAGAGCAGATTTGAACAGTATATTGAACCACACGACTCGTGTGACTTGCCACACGACTTATGTGACTTAAAAACTTTAAATTTTCAACTTATTTGGGATCAAAATAACTTAATCTTTGAAATAAACTAATACTTATTACTAATTACTGTAAGGGATGTTACAAGTGAAGTATGAGATTATTGTTGAATATTGATAATGGTTTTAAAAATGGGTAGCGCCGCCAAATGATTTGAAATAAATTTTAGAAAATTTATTCTGATTTTCGTCTAATGAACATGGGGCGTTTGCGTGGCATGAGCGTGGTGTGGTTGTATCTATAAAAATATCTTTATGAAAATCCTCAGAAATGTAAATCGCGCTTTATACCAATTGTAACACACCGCTTTTATTCCGGTTGAAAACCAGAGTAAATTTTTCATTTTTAAAAACTTTACCATAACTTGTAAAAATCACTTGATGATCTCGGGATGTTCCCTTTTTCTTTTTATAAAATACATATCAAATAATCAAACTGAAACGTATTTATTTAAAACTGAAATTCTATATTCTCGAATCTTTATTTGAAAATGTTCAATCTTTATTACACATTGGATTAGATTGATTCAATGATATGTTAAATCATATAGCATTCGACATTATGAAAATTTAAAGATAGTGGAAACGTAAACTTGGTTCATCGTGAGCCATTATTTATTATAGAACATCAGAATTTCCTTTATTTGTCATGAAAACCCGACCACCTCCACATTAGCTCATCCTGCCCGCACAACTCCATTACCTGAAATGTCATAACATAATGGGACACGAGTACATAATCATGGTACTCCGTAAGAACCCAACATAACGTTAATAATAATTATGACATTCATAAAATTGGCATATATGCATATAACTGAAATAAATGACATATATAAACATAATTAACTTTCTTTGGCTTTCGAACACTTGGTCGATATCATGTGCAGACTCTGATGGTAGAACAAGCTTAGGTTCCATTAGAACCTGATTTAAAGACAATTGGCCTTTACACAGGTGATAATCATATAGACCTGAGCTGGTAGGTTATTTCCACACTTGGGGAAATCATTTTTCTTTCGTACATATCTTTGCTTTAATATTGAGAAATAAACCTATGTAAATCCCAGTACAGGGTTCCCATCTTTTTTGTTGAATAGTGAAAATGTTGAAATGCTT